TCAAAATGACAGGCCAGTGAGTGTGGCGCGGTGATGACAGGCATCAGCTCTGGGGCCCAGCAGGCCTGGGTGTGGGCCCTGAGTCCCCGGTCCTGAGTCTGCCGAACGGGGCGGGATGGAACAGTCTAGTCTCTGCTCGATCAACGGTAGCTGGTGCTGCATGTTCTAAGTCCTCAATTTAACAGACGCAGCACCCGAAGAGGTCAGCCCCCACAGCTGGTGTTTTGTTTTGTTTGTAAGATTTTATTTATTTATTTTTAGAGAGGGGAAGGAGAAAGAGAGACAGGGCAATAGCAATGTGTGGTTGCCTCTCAAGCGCCCCCTACTGGGGACCTGGCCTGCAACCCAGGGGCGTGCTGTGGTTGAGAATCAAACAGGCATCCTTTTGGTTGGCAGTCCGGCACTCAATCCACTGAGCCACGCCAGCCAGGGAAAAAGTGATCAGAGGGAGGGACCCGGATTGGAAGGAGGGAGCTGTCCACTGTCTCAGTGCTGATCTGCCTGTTCCGCCGTCCTGGGCAGGACCCCTGACGAACTGCCGGGTGGTGTCTGTGGAGGAGTGGGGACAGGAGTGGGACCAGTAACTAGGGGGAGTAGTTCTTCTGAAGATTCTAGCCCTGGGGATACATGATGCGCTTCACTGCCACTCAGAGACAGGAAATGAACAGAGGCCAGACATGCTTAGAAGTCGGCCCCAGCGCAGAGAAGCCATTGTCCGTGGACCGGTTCAATGCCTCGCAGCCGAACACTCGGGAGGATCAATCGCACGCTCCTGCCCTCCTGGAGCCAGCCCAGGTTGCAAATGAAGAAGCTGCCGCCGCCACAGGCGGATTTAATGGATTTTCAAGGCAGAGTGCAGACCTCCGTGGCCAGCAGTGTGGGTGTGGCGAGCGCTCGGCGGGGAGGCACGGCTCCCTGTCTGGCCAGGCAGACTCCAGCTGGCCTGCAGCTCCTTCGGTCTGCCCAGGGGCCAGGATGCTGTGGAGCAGGTGGTGGAGGCCGGAGCCGGGCGGGGCTCAGCATTCCGATCTGAGATCAGCCCCGGGCTCTCTGAGAGGCCTTGGGCCAGCGGCTCCGCGGCAAGGCTGCCTCGCCCCTCCCATCAGGGGCATGGCAGTCTCCATCCTGGGAGCAGTCACCTGGGAAGTGCATGTAAATGTGCTCAGCAGCGGGCCTGGTCCACAGGGGGCTCTCAGACCGTCCTACGTGCACCACAAGCTGACTCCCTTTGTCGCCCAGCCGGCACTTTCGGCCTGAGGATCCAGTGCAGGAAGGGAGGCCGAGGATGGAAGGACGTGAGTGCCGGTTGACCGGGCACCGCCGGAAGAGATGAGAGGGACCCAATCAGGGCGTCAGAACAGTCCCAGTGGTCACGTGACCACGGTGAGGTGCTGAGTCAGGCGGGCCCGGGTCCCCCTCACCCCTCACCTCCCTGATTCGTTCTGACACCGTAGGCATGTGCTTAACTTTCTCAACCTCAGTTTCCTCATCTGCGTGATGGGGTAACTGCAGCCTCTCTCCCGTGGCTGGGAGGGTTCCATGAGATGTGGTGGGCAGAGTGTCTGGGCCACAGCAGGCCTCTGGCAAATGTTCCTCGTGCCCTGAGTCCCATCAGACAGTGGTGACTCGACTTCTCCCGGGAGGTCCTCCGTGGACACTGCAGGCTTGTCCTCCCTCCGTGGAGCCCACTCCCTTCTGGGACGGCCTGTGGGACCTGGGATGGCCTGTGGGACCTGGGACGGCCCGGGAGGCACAGGGTAGCAAAGGCCCCATCCAGACAGCCGGTTCCTCTCCTGCCTTGTGGTGGGGAGTGAGCCAGAGGCCCGATGCTTCTGTCGGATGGACCCTGGTCCGCTGACTCTGCTTGCTTGGCTGCAGGGCTGGCCCGGGGGGGGGGGGGTGAGCACGAACAGCCCCCAGGGACGCCAGTCTGGGGCCGGGCAGCAGGGAGAGCTCTGGACAGCGAGCGAGGGCCCTGGGTCCCAAAGCCTGGTCTGCCACTCACCGGCCACATGCCCCTGTGCAGAGCATGTCACCCCTAGGATCTGCTTCTTTATTGCATGACGAGAGCATCTCCAGGTCAACCCCGGGGTTCCCCGGGCTCTACAGGGTCCATGAGAGAGCAGGCAGGTGTGAGTGCTTTGAAAACGGGGAGCTGCTGCGTGGCTCAGGGGCGGGTGTGTGCTGGGTGCTCCAGGTCCCAGAGGTTGTCACCTGAAAGGGACTGACCTTCCTGCCCTTGAGCCTGACCTTGGGCTGGCATCAGGACTGGCTGCCACCTTCCTCTCTGGCTTCCCGCAGGCCCCCTTCTCCCCAGAACCACGAACATGCACCAGGCTTCAGCCCCTGGGCATGCACTCGGACCACCCCCCTGGACTGGCAGCTTCTAGCCCCCTCCACACGAATAGGTCCAGAACCCTCCCCTTCCTCTAAGGGCTGTGCTTCCTGTGACCATGGCCCTTTGGTGGCACCTCTCCTGGGGGCACTGGGGACATTCCTGTGTCTGTTCAGTTTATACGAGTCTTCCCTCTCTTTCTGAAGGCAGGTATGCAGAGGACCACTCCTGTCTCCAGCCTCTCTTTAGGGGTACGGGTGTCATGTGTTTTCAATCACATGTGCACGATTTCCATATACGGTGGAAAGAACATGGGTTTTCATGTCCAAAAGATGTGATGATTCGGCCATCTTAATCAGTCATGCTGCTCTGTCCGTGGGTGCCTACCTGGAGTGACCTTGAGCAAATTTCTGGACCTTTCTGGGTCTCAGCTCCTCCCCCTGTCCAGACGGGCTTGCGGTGTCTACACTGGAGGGTTGTGGCAAGAATGCCCAGTGGTGTGTGTGTGCGCCTGCCCCTGTGTGGGGCTCCGCTAACCCGTCTCACAGCGGGAGACTGGGCCCTGCATGGGAGTCCTCCCTCGGGGCCGGCTCGTGGCCACTGACCGGCTCCCGTGAACACTGTCACAAACACCCCCTCCTTCTCTGCAGCTCAGAGAAGTGTGACAGGCAGACCTGACCCCAGTGTGGTCCCCCTGCAAGCTCCGGCACTTCGCCGTCCCCGATCAGGTGGCTGGCTTCTTGAGTCCTTTCAAAAGGGACAATGGGGACCCTGTGTCGGGGCCTGGACAGGAGCAGGCCTCTCCTTTCCTGTGTGACCTCGCTACCTGCGTCCGAAGCCATGGGAGACCCTGGGCTCAGTGAGGCCCCGCCTGGCGGCAGCCACAGAAACTAGGAACCTGGACACTGTGGCAGTCCCCCTGCCCCTGGAAGCAGGAAATATTGTTCACAACCATAAAAGGAGCCTCTGATTTTTAGCAAACTAAGTCAAAACGTCCTGAGTGTCTTTCTGGTGTTCAGCCTTCTGCTGTTCCCGTTAAGAATTCAGGAAGCGAATGACCTTCACCGTGTGGGTGCAGGCGGGCATGCCCATGACTGTATTGCCATTAGCCCTGGTTTCCTGGCCACCAATGTCATTTTCAAGTTGAGACCATTTCCTGTTCCAGACCAAGGACACGGCTTGAGAAGGCGACCACAGGCCTCTGGTGCGGGCAGAAGGGGCCACCGCACGGAGCTAGAGGCACGGGCCCCGTTCCGCACCAACTCTGCCACCAGGACTCCTTCAGCCTCGGGGTCCGCGTGTCCGAAATGCACGTGTGTCTCTCAGCTCCCTCACGGGCAGGAACTTGCTGCCTCGCCAGCCCGGGGCAGATGGTGTGCGGCCGACAGATGCAGCAGCTGGGGCTCGGGCCGGAGTGCTGAGCATCAGCCAGAAACCCGGGCTCTGCTGAGGTTGGCTGTGGACAGATGAAGCTGGGGGCTCAGGGTCAGGGTCAGATAAAGGCTTCTCCTGGCTGAGGGAATGCTGGGAGGGGGTCACAGTGAGGCTCAGCCTCCCCGCCCCCAGCCCCAGCAGGCTTGAGGATGCTGCTGAAACTCAAGCTGAAAGACAATGGGAAGAGGGCATCATAAACTGAGAACATCCCTCCCACCCCTATCCCCGGCAGCCGCTGCCCTGAGCCAGGCCCTGGGTCCTATGGATGGAGAAATAGGACCCCTTCCCCTCCCAGCAACGGGAGCCTACCTGAGCCCTCCAGCTCAGCCCAGAGAAGGAAGAGCGCCCGTCCTGGGAAGCGCAGCTGGGACAGGATGGCTAAGACCTCTGCCTCCAGGTCTGGTTGGGCTGGCGCTCCGGGCTGGGGCGGGTGGCACTGAGGTGTGAAGATGCCCGGGCGTGCCTCCCTTTTCCCAGCGCCTCCGCGAGACTTCCCAGACTCAGCCTGGCTCTGACACACACACGGGAGCCTGGGTGGGGAGGGGGCTGCCAGGAGCCAATCACCCTGCACAGAAGCCCGCGGAGCTGCTTCTCTCCGAGTGTGTGTGTGTGTGTGTGTGTGTGTGTGTGTGTGTGTGTGTTTGCACACATCAGCGGGGATTTCTGTGCTAGAAGCAGCCAGATTCCCGAGAGGGAAGAACAAGAGGCGAGGGGGAAATTGGGGGTGGGAGAGACAGATGGAGACACAGCAGTGGGAGAGAGAGAAGAGAAGCAGGGCGAAGGAAAGAGAGAAAAAGGGGGAGAGACGGAGAGAGGGAGGGAGGGGGTGGAGGGGAGAGCTGAAAGGGAGAGCGAGCGAGCCGAGCAGAGAGAGGGGAGGAAGAGAAAGCCAGGGAGCAGGAGGGTGCGCGAGTGGAGACAGAGGGATGGGGTGAGGGCAGGAGGAAGCAGAGGCAGAGTGCGGGGGCGCAGGCGCCTGCAATCCAGGATCGGAGGGCTCTGAAAGCTTCTGATTCAGCGGCGCACCCGGCGCTCACCCTCCCGGGAGGTGGCGCGGGGCTCCGGAGTGGCTGCGCGCCCAGGTGCCTGCCCGGGAGGTGGCGCGGGGCTCCGGGGTGGCTGCGCGCTCTCCAGGGAACCATGGCGGCGGGGAGCAGGGGTCTCCGGGCGGCGGGCTGCGCCAAGGAGGCGCCGGGTTGCCGGCCCTGAGCGCAGGCGGCGGGCGCGCACCATGAACTCGTGGGACGCGGGCCTGGCGGGGCTGCTGGTGGGCACGATGGGAGTCTCGCTGCTGTCCAACGCGCTGGTGCTGCTCTGCCTCCTGCACAGCGCAGACATCCGCCGCCAGGCGCCGGCGCTCTTCACCCTCAACCTCACGTGCGGCAACCTGCTGTGCACCGTGGTCAACATGCCTCTCACCCTGGCGGGCGTCGTGGCGCAGCAACAGCCAGCCGGCGACCGTCTGTGCCGCCTGGCCGCCTTCCTCGACACCTTCCTGGCCACCAACTCCATGCTCAGCATGGCCGCGCTCAGCATTGACCGCTGGGTTGCCGTGGTGTTCCCGCTGAGCTACCGCGCCAAGATGCGCCTCCGCGACGCCGCGCTCATGGTGGCCTACACGTGGCTGCACGCGCTCACCTTCCCGGCCATCGCGCTCGCCCTGTCCTGGCTGGGCTTCCACCAGCTGTACGCGTCGTGCACGCTCTGCAGCCGGCGCCCCGAAGAGCGCCTGCGCTTCGCGGTCTTCACCGGCGCTTTCCACGCGTTCAGCTTCCTGCTCTCCTTCGTCGTGCTCTGCTGCACGTACCTCAAGGTGCTCAAGGTGGCCCGATTCCACTGCAAGCGCATCGACGTGATCACCATGCAGACGCTCGTCCTGCTGGTGGACATCCACCCCAGGTGAGGGGGCCCCCCCGGGGGCGCTGGGGTTGGCTGCCTGGGCCTCGGGGCCCGGAAGGGGGTCTTTGTTAGGGGGAAAGGGAGCTCGTGTATCCCCCACGCTCCAGCGTGTGGCCTCGGACCTGATCCCTTTCCAAGGAATCTCCATATCCTCTTCGGAAAACCCAGGCGGGGGAGGGGCCAAGGCTGCCAGTCTCAAGGCAGATGCATGGAGGAGCCCCAGCAGAGCAGGCCCCCCGAAATGTGGGTGCAAGAATGCACAGGCTCATGGGAGCATCGGGGTGGAGATCCCAGAGCCAGAACTTGGTTGGGCTTCTTGTTGACACTCACTTTCTGTGTCTGTGGTTTCCACTCGAAACAGTGCACGCAAGGCAGTGGTCCCGGCTTCCTGCCGGAGGCCTTTCAAAGGTTCTCCTCCGGCCCCGAGAGCCTGGTCTGGGGGTTTAGGGGGCTGCGTAAGAGCTCTCAGACCGGACCGACCGTGCTTCCGGGTCTGTTGTTTCCCTGGGGTCTGCACGGCCTCTGCGTGGGCCTGCGTGTGCCTGGGTGAGTCCTGGGGCTGCCCCCCTCCCTCCCTCGGTGGGCCCTTAAAGGAGTATCTGAAGGACTCTGAGGGGGCAGGGAGGGGGTCTTCTGTTCTTCCCAGATGGCACTGTCCTGTGTCTTCTGGACTTGGAGCCTGGACAGCTCTGCAGGGAGACAGTGTTACCCCCAAGGTCCCCACCCACCTCCATCTTCACCTGGTGGCTGTTTCCCAGGGAGGCAGCCTCGGGGGAGACACCTAGCTGAGGCGTCACGAGCTCACCTGGGCTTTCCTCACAGGGGAGGAAGGGAGAAGGGACACGCCGGTGGCGTTTCTGTGGGCTCTGCTGCTGTGCCTCCCCAGAAGGCGCACGATGAGGCTGGCAGGGAGCACCCACGGGGGAGGCCAGGGCAGGGAGGGAGTCCCCCAGGGTGTGAGTGCCCCCCGCAGGCCCAGGGAGAAGCGAGGTCACCGCTGAGAGGGACAGACCGGAGGTGTCAGCCTGAGCAAAGGTTCCTGCAGCCCTGAGTGTTTCCTGCCCGTGAGCAGTAAAAGAAAAGTGTCTGAACTTCACAGTGTCTGCACAAGGGCACGCCTGCCTGTGCGCATCTCCCCCCTCCACATGGCCCTTCCTGGTTACACGCTGGTGAGTTAGGTGAGGACTCGTCATAGACCCTCCCTCACAGAACCACACACGACACGGGCATGTGCGTGACCAGCAGGGCCCACGAACCCATGCATGCGACTGTGTGAAGGCCATACACGATCCCACGTGTTCTCATATCAACTGCATGTGTGGCAGATCGACCACCACGGTGCACGGGTCACAGGTGCGGCCTGCGTGCACACCCCGGCATGAGGACACGGGCTGACTCACTACTCACGTCCGTGCGTGGGGCGCCGCCATCTGTGGCTGCCCTCGCCCTCCTCAGGGCAAGTCCCCTTCTCTCCACACAGGGCGGGGACCTGGCTCCAGAAAGCGCAGCCCCAGGACGGGGAGGGGCTGGGACGGCTCTGGAAGCCGTAGGCTCGGTTAGCCCTCGGGACCCGGTTCCCACAGCGCCCCTCCCCTGTTAGTCTGAGAGCCTGCCAGCCCAGCTGGGGAGGGGGTGGGCCGGGAAAGGAATCAGTGCTTGTTTAGATCAGTCCGCACCCCATCTCCGCTCTCCCGCAGGCTGCAGAACAGGGGGAGCCCCGGCTCTTCTTCAGTCCTCTTTGGGGTGTAGGGCCGGCTCCACCCTCCACTCCGACTCCAGGCTGACAGGGCAGCGAGGGTTCCCAGGGGTCTCAGCACAGAGGCAGCGGCTCTGCTGACCTCCCCTCCCCTCCCCTCCCCTCCCCTCCCCTCCCCTCCCCTCCCCTCCGCTGCTACCTTGACGCTTCTAAGCCCCAGAATGCTTTGAGGAGCCCTGCCAGCCAAGCAGCAGCCCCAGCCTGCACCTGGGAGAGGAGGGGCTTTGGGGACAAGGCCAGCCCTTGACCAGGTCAGAGAGGCCCCACTGGGCCCCCCTGGCCAAGGGCTGGCCTGAGGGCATGGCATCGTGGGCAGGTACAACGGCACTCACTGCCCCTTCCAACAACACCGTCCGCCTTTCCGGGAGGCTCTGTCCCCAGAGTGGGCGGGGGGCGGGCAGTGGGGCTCCCTGACAGCTGCTCCACGGGCTCCCTTCTCGGCCGCTCACACCTGAGAAACTGCAGCGCTAACTCTGGGGCCTGCCCCTGGCACCCCCAAGCCTGAAGCACCGAGGCTCCAGGAAGACAGGCCAAGCCTCTGGCCTGGAGTGGTGCTGAGAGTCGGAGCACCCGGGGGTGGGGGGTGCCCATTCTCCCACCAGCCTCTTTATTCGGACAGCCAGGGCGGCAGGTGCCTTCCGCTCACCAGCCTCCACCCGGGACCTCCTGGGGCTTCATTAGAAGCGGCCAGTTTGTGTGCCTGCAGGCCCATGCTTGTCGAGACGCCCCCTCCCGGTGCCTGCTCTCCCCGCGGAGTGCTGCTGAGCGTGGCGCTTGGCAGGCCGGGCCCCTTTGCTTAGACGTCGCCACCGATCTGGGCCCCTCTGTGCTGAGTTAAACCTGGGGCGCTGAGAGATGTTCCTTCTCTGCACCTGCCTTTCTGTGGCGGTTTCTCGAGTCACGACGGGTCACCAAGCCGTTTGGAATGCCTGACATTTCACTACCCACCTGTCCTCTGGCTGCCTGGCTGGCCCCGTTCAGCTCTCCCGAACCACCTGCTGCCACCGGACACCGGGGCTGTCATCGGACACGGGGCACCGGCGGACAGCGGGGCCATGATGCAGCAGCCCCACTGTGGGCCGCCACTCCCCCTGACAGAGTGGGACGGTGCTGGGCCACACTCATCCTGTGTGGTGAACGGCTGCTGGGTGCCGTCCCTGCAGGGGTCCAAGCCGTGGCGTAGTAGACAGAAGAGGAGGGAACCCACTGTGCCCTTGGCTTTGCAGATGAGGACACTGGGGCGGCCAGGAAGTGGGGAAGCCCCTGCTCCAGCAGCCACAGGATGCGGCCCAGACCCCGAGATGGATGGGCGGGAAGCGGCGCAGACAGCGGCCAGCACGCCGTCTGTGTCAGTGTTTGCAATTTCTAAGTGAAGCTTAGAAACTGCCAGCAGAACCAGGCTGTGCCTCCCGCCCTGACGCACATACCTTTATGAGGCTTTGCAAGGTGGGGCTCAAACTGAGAACCCCCAGGATCCTTGGAGCTCACGGTGGGGAGCACTGAGCTGTCCGGAGCACATAATCCCCAGCCCCCTTTCTCCCCAGCCCCTTCTCTCCCCACCACTGCAGGGGCCGCCCTTGTGCAAAGCGGATGTTGCAGGTTGTGCCTCTGTGTGTCCCTCACTCCTGTGCCCTCAGGTCTCCCGCCGAGCACACAGGGGCATGGACCCAGGAGGGGGCCCGCGCACCTTCTGGAAGCAGGATCGGGGCACTAGGGGCAGGGGTTTTGTGTTTCTGGTCAGGGCCGAGGGTGAGGCTGTGAGCTCAGGGAGGGGGGGGGGGCACCTCTCTCAGCCCTATGAACTGTTCGTTCAGTGGGGACAGGTGGGGGCCCGTCGATGTCCAGGGTCCGGGACACAGAGCCCTCTCACAGGACTGCCCACACCGCTGTCCTGACCCCAGACTCCAGGCTCTTTCCCCACCACCGACCAGCTCGGTACCTTGGCTTTTGCTTCATTTTCCCAAAAGCCAGGAGACAAATCTGGATTACTCAGAGTCCTCAGAGCACGGGCTCCGGACCAGCCACGGTCCCCTGAGGGTCACATGGGACCCAGACCGCTGTGCCGGGCACAGGGGTGCCTGTAGCTGGCAGATTTCAGGTCACAGATACCGACTTGGCAGCTGTCCCCAGCATTCTGTCCCTGTCCCTCTGCCCTGCCATGGAACCCTGCTGGGAGCATCTCTGTGGCCCCGCAGGCCACAGTGCTGGAGAGCCTGTCTCCTTTTGTCACAAGGACACCGTATGTCCCATCAGGGCCTGCGGGAACCCCACCCTGGCCGCATGCTTGCACTCTGGGAGAATGCACCCAGCCAGGGGAGCTTTGCACCCTAGCCCTCTGCACCGTCCGGGGGCCTGAGGACTCCTGCCATCTCCACTGGGCCCGGGAGTATCTGGGGAATTCGTTCGTGTGGCTACATGCAGCCTACTCACAGCTCAGTGGTCCCATGGGAGACAGTGGGGCTCGGGGGACACACCCCAGACCTTGGAGTCAGGACACCCGGATCTGTCCCCAGCTCACTGTGCGGCCCAGGGCGTGGCGTACACCTTCCTGGCCCTCAGTGTCCTCATCTGCAAGTAAAGAAAACAACAGCTCTCGGGGCTGCACGATTTCAAGGAGCTCAGTTGTGCAAAGAAAGCTCTGTACGGTGGGGGCAAAACTGGCAGGTACCAAGTCATCATCCCATTGTTCCGGGAGCTGGCGGGCTGCTCTCACTCCGTGCTTAAATGGTGACGACAAGTGGGAGGACTGCGCGGCTCCCCTCGGGCCTGGGGACTGCCCTGCCTCCTCATTCCCGCCGCCAACCTGCTCTCACCTGGAAACCAGGGAAGCCCAGGTAGAGAGGATGCATCCATTTACCCGCGGGGGATAAGGAAGCAGCCACATGGCTCCTGGGCAGCAAGCAACGCCAGATGGGGTGGGCGTCCGTGACGGCATGCTAGCCTCACCGGCACCCCACTCTTTGGGGCGGGGCAAGCCCCTCCCTTCTCTGAGCCCCACATTTCCCAACTGGAGCTGGCTTGGGTGGTTGAGAGGATCTCTCGTACGACATGGGACATCAGCTGCAGAGTCCAGCCTGTCCATCCCAGAGCAGAGACCTGACCAGGCCCATGGGGAGGCTCATGCCACGGGGTGGGCACAGCATCCGCCCCAGGCCCCCTCTGGGTGGTTCTAAAGCATCTGAGACGTGAACTACATTGCCAGGGTGACAGACTGGAGGAGGGCCTGGCCCAGTGTCACCACCAGAATGGCACCCCCACCCCACAACGAGTCATTGTCATGACTGTGGTGCTCGTTTTTTAGGGGTGACCAGCACGCTCTGCTCCTCTCGGGGGGCGACTGTTCCGTGGTGGCCCAGGACACCTGGCTCCTGCCCCAAGCCTCCAGCAAGTCTCACCTCAATCGCACCGACAGTTTAGGCAGAAATATTTTACTATTAAAACAAAAAGTCCTGTGTTGAGGGGAATATGCCCCAAACGCTGCACCCTAGGGCGGCCACTGTCCTGGTTTTCCTGGGACAAGAGGGCCCCAGGGTGCAGGACTTGGAGTTTTGAAACCAAGACCGCCTCTGGCAAACCAAGATGGGCTGGTCTCACTGCGCCCAGAGAACCGCTCCGGGTGGGCCTCGTGCCTTCTCTCCACGCCCACCCACCCGTGTCCTGCACACGTCACCCCAGCCCGAGGACCTGCGTGCTCAGCTCTGCGGAAACCCAGGTGCAAGTGGAGCGTCAGGAGATGTAAGACCTGCTCTCGCTCCGGGACCTAGATCAGCGCCACCCTTCCGCCCCCTCCCCCGCTCCGCACCACCCACCGTGTCCTTCAGGGTTTCTGGACGAGCGGAAGCCCCGGTGCCTCCCTGCATAGGGGCCCCCACCGCAGTCTCTAAGACGGCACATGGTAAAGACTCAAGAAGTGTGGGTTGTTATTGATACAGGAATGAGAGATCAATTCATAGTATCGGTAAACGTTTGGCCGGTATGAAACCTGTTTGCACTGAGCCAGACTCCGGTTCCCCGACTCCCCACATCCCTGGAAGGGCCCCACATCCCTGGAAGGGAGGAGAATCCTGCCGGAATTTCAGGCGCCTTCGATCCAAGCACACGTGGAATCGCCCACCTGTGATGGGGAAAATGAAGAAGCGTTCAGATGAAGCATCGGTCACGGTTCTCGCGGAAGGAAGCGAGGCAGCAGCCCGGCCTTTTTCTGTGGCGCGCCAGCCTGGCTCTCGACGGTTCTCCCCCGTCCGTCCTTTCGCTGCACAGACCGGCCGATTTTGGGAGCCCGGTCACCGCGGCCCAGTCCTGGCTCAGCCTGGCCGTCTTCCTCCCTGCTCACGTTTGCAATCCTGTGATTTATGTTCAAAGCAAACAGCAGAGACGCATGCCGTTGTCGGCCCCAAGGGGTGGAGTGAGGGCTGGCTTTTCTCCGTGGTCCTCACGGTCTCCCGTCCAGGGTGCTGTTACTGAGGCGCCTCCCTGGGGCTGCAGGAAACAGATCCCCCAGGCTGCTGCCCACTGCTGGCAGGAGCTGCCTGGGAGTGGAAGGCCCCGGGGCAAAGGGGAGTCAGGCCCGGGGTGTGGGTAAGAGGCGTAGGCGGCAAGCTCCTGATTCCACCCTCAAAGCGGTGTCCCCGATTCTGCAGGGACTTGGCCATCTCTTAGCTTCGTAGATCTTGGTCTCTGAAGGAGTTGAGTGACTTCTCTCTCAGTGACACCATAAGTGGTGTCTGTCGCTCCTGGCCAGACTGAGGCTCTGGGATGGAAGACCCGGGGCTGGAGGCGTGGAGGAAAGGAAGCCCCATGCATACTGTGTGAGGAGTCCAGGTGGCCCAGGTGAAAAGGGCCAGCTCTGAGTACCACGGACGCAGGTTCAAATCCTGTCTCTACTTCCCAGCTGAGCCAGTGCACTCAGCCTCCCTGAGCTCTCATTCTTCATTTACCTGCCTGTAAAACAGGGCAGGTGAAACGTCACCTGGCAGGGAACACGCACCTGGCGGGATCAGTTGTAGTAAGGATAAGAATTAGAGATAGTACTTAGTGTGGCCCCTGGGCCGGGCACAGCCAGTGCTCCGTGAATACGAGTAGTGACAATGATTTCGTGTTATTTGCACTCACCCAGGTGCTGTGCTCACCGCGTTACGCACTGAACGCACTTCATGCATCTGTGTGCTTTCACGCCCGTAACCCTCAAAACAGCCCTTTGCGGCATTTTGTCACGTGGCTACCCACATGCTACAGATGATGGCCCCGGGGCTCAGTGGTGCCACCCAGCGTGCCCCCGGCCACGCAGCTGCAGCCGAGACCTGACCTCAGGTCGCCCTGGCCGCACAGCCACGCTCCAGCACCGTAGTAACCCAGCGTGACCAGGGCAGGGCGGCCTGGGAGTCACCGTGCCCCCATCTCTCCCGTGCAGCGTGCGGGAGCGCTGTCTGGAGGAGCAGAAGAGGAGGCGCCAGCGAGCCACCAAGAAGATCAGCACCTTCATAGGGACCTTCCTCGTGTGCTTCGCGCCCTACGTCATCACCAGGTGAGCCCGAGCGGCGGACGCTGACGTGGTGGACGGGACGCTGATGTGGCTGGGGGGAGGGGGGTGCTGACGTGATGGGCAGATGCTGACGTAGCGGGCGGGATGCTGACGTGGTGGGCGGGACGCTGATGTGGCTGGGGGCAGGGGGGTGCTGACGTGATGGGCAGATGCTGACGTAGCGGGCGGGATGCTGACGTGGTGGGCGGGACGCTGACGTAGTGGGCGGGACGCTGATGTGGCGGCGGGGGGGGGGGGGGAATGCTGACGTGGTGGGCGGACACTGACGTGGCGGGCGGGCGGGTCGGGCACCGGGCCTTGGAGAGCACAGCAGGGCCCGCGCGACCTTCAGCAGTCCCCAGTCTGGCTCGGCCACACGTTGCGGCAGACAGTCCATAGAGGGGTGAGCGTGAACTTGACGGATTTGATGAGAAGGACGGTGCCTTCTTTCTCTCGGTAGCCGTGAATCCTTTTAGAGGAAACTCGGAACTGAAAGGGCTGTAAAAGGCTCTCTCCCACCTGATTTCCAAATCTCACCCCCCTCGCCCTTCATCCAGGGCCCCACCCCAAGGGGCCCTAAAGGAAGGGCCAGGGGAAAGACGGAGGAAGGCACCGCGGAGGTGGGCGCACGAGAGCCCGGCCCTGGGCGTGCTCGGCCGGGGCACACTGGTCGACAGCAGGGCCACGCGCTGTCGGCACGGGGAGCACCGGTGGGCTCACCTGACCTGCAGCCCCAGGGGTCTCCCACTCTGACTCCAGCTGTGGTGGGCTTGTCCCATTCTTTCCGAGTCCCCAGCCCGGTGCCAGCCAAGGTTGCCGTGCTCTGGCCGCAGGACTGTGCGTTCCGAAAGCCAGTCTGCTCTGGCTACAGAATTTTCTCCGCATGTTTTATGCAGGAAAAAAAACAACCCAGCATCACCCCATCGGTTTTGTGCACTGGAGGGGAAATAAAACCCAGTAATGTTGCTGCTGAAGTGTAGTTGGGGTGAATGGGCACTAGGAGGCAGCAGTGGGGCAGAGGTGGGCTTGTAGGAGCCCAGAGGTATTTTCTGACAACAGGTGAGCTGGACCTGGCATGACTCTGCCTGGCAGGGCACCTCGCACGGTACCTCCTGGACCCTACGGCGCCCCCAGGTGGTGGGCTGGGCAAGCGGTAGGAGCTGCTCTGGCAGATGGGGGAACTGAGGCTCCGGGAGGAAAGGGATTGGGCAGGTCATTCAGCTAACAAGGCACAGAGCAGCCAGAGCCCCTCTGAGACGGCCACCAAGCAGCCCTGGGGACCCTCCTGGAGGCAGCGCCAACCCATTGTTCTGCGCCTCCTTCCTGTCCCTGGAAATAAAGGTCAAAGCCACTGAGACAGCGACAGGCTGACCTCGTGCAATCCAGAGGGGAGAGGTAAGGATGAGCTGTTCCCTTAAACGTGCCCTGGAAGGTGGGGTTCCCACGGCCCACTGGGTGCAGGAGAGCCCGGCCCCTGGCACGCTCCGCCTAGACACGCTGGTCCAGCGTCTGTGCCTGACTCTGGGCTGCCCTCTGTGTCTGGACAACATCCCTGTCTCAGACGAGGGTTCTGAGGCTCAGACAGGTGCCAGCCTCGCCCGGCGACTCAGCCAGGTCCCAGTCTGTGGCAGCTTCACCCGGAGCCCACCCACAGGTCCCCAAGCTGCGCTGATTGGAGTCTCCGCTGGGAGCGCGGAGTTCCCGCTGTCCTCCCAGAGCCACGTGGGGAGACGCTTCGTGCCCGCGTCCCGCTGTGAACCAGAGAGCTGCCGCTCCCGAGATGATTGAGATCGAGTCGCTGGAGTGTCACTGAAACCCCTCATTGAGCTGTCGGTGCAGAAGCCGGCTCTGCCCACGATGGTGCAGCGACTGTCTCTATCCAGGCAGCCGCCTCCCCGCCCCCTCCCACCCGAGACGTGTGAACTGAGCTGAGGGGAGGAGTTTGGATTAATGTGGGAACAGCTGTGGGGACCTTGGCGCTGGCGGAATCGGGACGTGAGGAAGAGAAGGGGCTTCTACCGTGACACCTGCCACCCTCCGAGCTGATCAAGAAGATCAGGCTGGCTGGGAAGGGACTTCCTTCTCTTTGTCCCTGGTGCCCTCCCATCTGCCTGACGACATTCTCAGAGCGGGGAGCGTCATCTTTGGGTCAAGAACCACTCGAGTCTTCAAAGAGCTTCTCGAGCTCCCCTCGCATTGCTCCCTCATTGCAAAAGAACAGGAAGTCTCCGACAGTGAGTGGATACACCTGTAATGCACCTCGGAGGGGCCAGTACTTACCTGGCTGCACTTAGTAAGGCGCCCCTGCAAGGTGAGCACTAGCACCCTCGTCTCACCGAGGTTCAGAGCAGCGAGAAGAGTTTCCCAAGGACGTGGGAGTAGCAACTGGCAGAACCAAGGGTTAAAGGTCAGCACCTAGCCTATTGGCAGTAATGCAGCCCTGTGGCCATGCTACATCTCCAAAGCTCCACAGCTACATCTCCTGGGGACTGGAAATACAGAGCTGCCCACCTGCAGGTTGATCCGACTTCCTACCCCAGTACCTTTGCGTGACCCACACGCAGCACCAGACTGCCGAGGGTGAGGGCAGGCAGGCGTGTGAGTCCTTTTTCTGGAAGAAGTGGTGGGTTCCCAGGGCATCGCCTCTGACCTCCCATCTGGGGGACATCAGCTCGGGTGGACCTGGGGCAGGGCCCAGAGGCCGTCAGCGTGGGTGGCTGAGGCCCCTGGCAGACGTGGCTGGCGCAGGACGGACCGTGCCGCAAACCCCTCTCAGAAAGACAGTTCCACCCGCCGCCCCAACCGGCCAGAGAGCTGCTACTGCACCCGCGCACGTCAGGTGACTGTGGGAAACATTTGGAGACCCCCCGCCTCCCCTTTAATTCGAGACACAACGTTCTATCCATTTACGCGCTAACATCGGCCCCTGGGTCCCCAAAGCCTTGGGGCGCAGCGGCTCTTCCCAGAGTGTTTGAACAGGGACTGAAGACCCGGGACAGACTCTCACCCAGAAGCTCTTGTAAGGCGATTATCTCCTTAGAGATAAATACTTACAAGGAATCACAGTTGTCCCCAACCAGCAGAGCGGGGCTTTGAGGATCTGCGGGTCTGAGGACACTGTCATCGCTCTTTTCAAAGTCACAGACTCCGTCGCTGGCAGCGGGGTTGGGTCTGCAGGTGGCTGTCCGGTGCTGATGTTCTATTAATAAAATGCCTTTTCCATCGAATGCCTCATGAAAGTTTAAACTGCCAGCTCATTACTCACAGGTCCTCACCTACATGGGCCAGACCGTCCAGAAGTCTTGGGAAGACATCTGGCTGGCTTCCCAAGGAATGTTCTGCTGCCCGGGCTGCATTCGGTGCACAATGTGTGTGTGAGCGTGTGCGTGAGTGTGTGTGTGTGTGTGTGTGAGAGAGGGAGGGAGGAAAGAGGTGATAGACGGTGTTAAAAGCAGGTGCTAATTTACCGTTTTAAGTTCAAGAGTGGAAAGTAAAGCTCCTTGACCACGTCCTGTAACCAAGTCAAGGTGCTGGGAGCAGCAGCCTGGGCACCAGGAGGACACAGGGTCCCTGACTGTCACCTTCGGTCCAGGGTTCAAGTCCTGCTTCTCCCACATCTAGCCTGTGGCCTTGGCACTTCGCTTGGCCCCGGTCCCACCCCCATGCAGCAGGGAGGACACCTCCAGGGGCTCCAGGCAGCGGTGTTTGTGAAGTGGTTATCAAAGCGCTGAGCCAGGGAGGGCTCAGGGGAGGATCTGGGTGGAGTGCTGCTCCTGTTTGCACCCCAGTTCTCACTGGGCAGCAGAATTATGATGTTGGTCTCTCTGGGGGTCCAGAGATTGCCTTGGAGATCTGGCAAAGGCACCCCCATCTGCCCTCCCGGGCCCAGGATGGCCAGGCTGCTGGGTGGGGGTGAAGGTCCCTGTGGGTGAGGGGCAAGGGGGGACGGGCTTCCTGGCCTCGTTAGCCCTCTGCTGAGACAGTCAGTTCATGACCTGCCGGTGACCCAGAGCAGAGGGCTTCTTGCCCAGAGAGAGAAGCGGCTCCCTGGAGTTCCCCCACCCTCCGCCCCACCCCCACTGCCAACAACTATAGAGTGGAGGGGTGCAGAGGGGGGGCCAGGGGCGCAGGACTGGGGGGGCAGGATCTGTGGTATCTGCTCTGTCACGCGGGGTCAGAATAACGCACCTCTCTGTGCCCTGCTTCCACTCTGCCAGCAGGCCCGCACCCTGCCGACAGCATTTCACCCCCACCGGGGGCTCTGCCCAGGCCTCCCCCCACCGTCACCCCCTGCCCCCCACCATGCTCACAGCAGGGCCTCTGGCACCCCTGCATCCCAGTCACCTAAAATGCTGGAAAACGCAGACTCCTGCTCCCCCTCACCCTGACCCCCAACCCTGTGGGCTCTCACTCCCAGGACTGCAGGGTTCTGAGGGATAGCTGCGTGTGAGGTTAGCACGCGTGGGTTCTGGGCACAGGAGCGTGAACATTTCCGCCTGAGTGGACCCTAATGGCAGAGGGCTTTCTGGCTCACGCCCCAGGCAGCTCACGCGAAGTCCCCTTGGTGCCGAAGGGAAGGTCGGGGTCGGGTGGGGGCGGGGAGGGCGAGGAGGGGCAGTGCCCCGCTCCGGAGTGGCTAATGCCTTTGCGACCCCACCCCCATGGGCCTTGGTGGCACAGGAACAGGGCGGGGCCCGTGCCACTGTGACACTGTTATGGCGTCCCCGTCCCTATGGGGCTGTTTGTGGCAGGGGCAGGGGGCGGGGTGTACACCTTTCTCAGTGTTGCCCTAACAAGCAACCCCTGACAGGGTAGCTTAAATAGTAGAAACGCGTCATCGCAGTTCTGGAGGCTGGAGGTTGAAACTCGAGGTGCTGGCAGGGCCTGTTCCTTCCGCAGCCCAGGGAGAATTTGCTCCGGCCCCTCCCCCAGCTCCCGGGGGCTTGCTGGGGGTCGCTGGTGCTGCTCGGCCTGCAGACACATCGCCAGCCCCATCTCCGCCTTTACGTTCACATGCTGTTCTCTCCCGGGTCCAAATCCACCCCCTTCGTGAGGGCACCGGTGCTGCTGGGAGGACCTACTGGGCACGGGGCCCGCCCCGCAACCTCCTCTTAGCTAGTGACCTCTGCGAGGACCCTGTTTCCGAGTAAGGCCCCATTCTAAGGGGCAAAGGCACCCCCATCCTAAGGCGGGGGTTAGGACCTCAGCATGTGAATTTGGGGGAGATGCAGTTCAACCCAGCGGGGGGCTCTGGATAAAAGGAAGCAGAGTCCCCTGTATTAACACCTGAGCCCAGGGATCCCCAAAGGCAGGGCTCTTGGGTCCGAGCTGGGGCGGGGGCAGGAGGGGCAGTCAGTAAACCACCTCGCGCAGTAAAAGCCGGCGGAGGGCAGGGCGGGACAGCGAGCCTGCCCACAGGGACACCGGGTCTGATCAGAATAAGAGTGCTGCTTTCCGAGCGAGAACCAGGGCTAGCTGGAGGGTCCCCCTCTCACAGGTCATCTGACGGATCATGTGATCGTACACATGCCTGCCCAGACCTGGAAAAAAGCAGCCGTGGCAATGGGGAAGTCCTTGCCGCCGCTCAGTCCCCCTGAACAGAGAGGTAGGGCGGAGCAAAGCCAACCACAGCAGGTGCGCAGCAGGGGCGGTGGGCGCTGGGGGGTCCAGGTGCGCAGGAAAAGCAGAGAGCAGGTCAGCCAGCCGCAGCTGGGCACAGAAGGGGCATCCCAGCTTCAGCCATGCCCGGTGGCCGCACCGGAGCAGTGGCCGGGCCTGCACCGACCCGAAGCATCTCTGTGCCCTGAGCCCTGACCAAGGCCAGACGTGAGCTGGCCAGACAAAGTGGAAGTCTTCCTGTGTACTGCCTGCGGGGCATGTGAACGGAAGTGCGGGTAGCACAGGACAGCTGCATGGGGAAGGTGTTCTCGGGGCCCAAAGGGACCCTGGAGCTCACCTCGTCCAGTCTCGTTGCTGAGTGTGAAGCCCAGGGTGGCCCCGAGCCCAGACGGGAGTGAGGGTAGATGGAGCAGGTTTCCCGTGTAGGAGAAGACACTGGCTGGCTGCTCGGGCTCTCGGAGCCTCGGTTGCCTCGTCTGTAAAATGGGAATGCTGCCGATTCCGAGGGACAGAGATTGCGCACCCCAAGGATCTGACCCGAAGGAAACTGTCCCCTCGGGGTGGCCGTCGCTGAGCCAGGGGAGTTCAGACTTCACCCACGTGACATCTCTGAGAAGCAAATGCGGTCGATGTAACCTCTTCGGTTACCTCTGACTGGTGAAACTTTAAATTGTCCCGAATCGTTTCACTGTTCTGTGAAGCCTGCAGAACCTGCAAATAATAGTTTAGATCTTGCTGGGTGGTTCGCTGTTATCTGGCTCTTTTAATAAGCCCCTGGGGAGAGCCCACACGCTGAGGCCGAACGTGGGAACACGCAGAAGGCCAGACAGTTCGGAAAAGCAACTTGGCATCGCGTAGCAACACCACGCTGGCATTCGGCTATTTCACTGTTATTACTAGGTGTGAGTTCTAAACTTGGGGTGGGGGTGGGTTGACTTCTTAAATTCATAATTTCCCAGAGTAGAGTTCTTAAAAGCACAGAATTTCCCAATGCGAACAGCTCCCTGTCCTTATTCAAGCTCCCGAGGATGTGAGCAGGAATGGTCCCACGGGGCTGGAGGGCAGGGCCGACAGTGGGGCTGAGCAAGGAGACGGAAGGTGGGCTCCCAGTGGGTTCAGGAAGGACCTGCTCCAGAGGGGAGTCTCAGAGCCGCCAGCGTCCTGCCGGAGATTGTCCACATACGGCCCAGGGGGCCGGACACACTGGAGAGAGGACCTTGCATCAAGTGGGGCGGGGTGGGGGGGGCTTCCTGCACACGGAGAAAGGCTGTACTGCCTCCCGCCTGGTGTCAGCACCACCGCCTGGGTCGGTGGGTGGGTCCCAGGGGGACCCTCAGACTGTGACCCAGCTGCGTCTGCCCTCACCCCCTCTGGATGATGAGGGTCACTTCAGGGGCCACTGCCCCAGGAAGAGGCCTTCCTGGCCAGCAGACCCTCTCCTGGTGTAAGACATACTTAGAGCTTTGCAGAATGTTCGCAAAGTTATTCCCAGCCCTTCCTCCCAGGCAGCCTAGCCTCCTTCGGAAGGCAGAGCTGGGACCGGGAGAGGAGCGCCCGCCTCTGGTGGAGGTGATCGGACTGAACTGCCCATTTTTCACTTGGAAACGAGCAGCCCAGGGGCACGCGGCAGCTCAGCGGCGGAGTTGGAGCCGGTAGCCGGGACACCGTTAGCTATTAGCCCATTTCTTTTTTTCTTTTTTTTTAAGATTTTATTTATTTATTTTTAGAGAGGGGGGAGAGAAGGAGAAACAGAGGGAGAGAAACATCAATGTGTGGTTGCCTCTGGCACACCCCCTACTGGGGACCTGGCCTGCAACCCAGGCCCTGACTGGGAATCGAACCGGCGACCCTTTGGTTTGCAGGCCGCCCTCCACTCAACCCACTGAGCCCCACCAGCCAGGGCCTGTTAGCCCATTTCTTAGAGGAGCTCCCACTCCAGAGTCAGACAGACCTGGGTTCCGGTCCTGCCTTTGCCATTCACTGGTCATGTGGCCTCCAGCAATGACGTAACGTCCTTGGACTTCCGTTTCCTCACGTGTAAAACAGAGAGTGTCCCACCTCCCGGGGCTCCATGAAATCGCACGTGTTAGCACAGCCCCCAGAATAAAATAAGTGCCTGGTGAGCGTCTGCTGTCCTCATCGTTACGGCTGCAAACTGCTGCTGCCGTAGTGACTGAGGGGGCTGTCCCGGAGCAACTGAGGCTTGGCCGGGAAGCGGGGGTCGGGGCCCAGACCGGGGGCTGCTGCACCTGGCCGTGACCTTCCGTCTCTCCGCAGGCTGCTGGAGCTGTCCTCCACGGTGCCCATCGGCTCCCACTGGGGGGTGCTGTGCAAGTGCTTGACCTACAGCAAGGCCGCGTGCGACCCCTTCGTGTACTCCCTGCTGCGGCACCAGTACCGCAAGAGCTACAAGGAGATCCTGAACAGGCTGTTCAACAGGCGGTCGCTCCGCTCCTCCGGCCTTAGCGGCGACTCGCACAGCCAGAACATGCTGCCGGTCTCTGAGTGAAGGACCCCGCTCCTGCCGCACCGTCTGGCATGAGGCAGCTGGTGAGAAGGCCGGGAGGGCTGGGGCCCCCGGGCAGACACCCCCAGCCGCCACCCAGTGACTCTGGTTCCCTGGCTTGGAGGGGCTCCTGAGGCTGCCCCCCGGGTCCTCAAGGGCAGCCGGCGAGCTGCCCCTACGTACCACCAGAGGACGACCGTGGGATGTGCTCTGGCTCCTCTCTCTGAGAAGCTCCTCTGAGCTCCTAGACTCACCAGAGGCTCCTAGAGGTGGCAGTCCGGTCACGATCAAAGGACACACGGTGCTGGTGGCGGGTGGGAAGGCATGGCTCCCATCTGCTTCCTAAGCACTCGCTGTTGGGCTCCAGGCTGCAGAGGAGCGGTGGCCTCCACGGGACACGGGACACGGGACATGGGACACGGGGGAGGTTGGCGCTGGCCCTGCGGCCCCACGTGGAGCCTGGCCGCCCTCGTCCGTGTGATCGCAGAGGCTGCCTCAGCCCAAATGTCGCGCAGCCGGTCCTCACTGCGCTGTGCTCAGCGAGACGACGTTCGAGGACTCGCGGCTGCCCGGTTGCTGCCGACCAGTCTCAGCCATGCTTCCGTCTGTCGGGTCAGCCTCTGCTCCTCCCTTTGCCCCCACGGCTGCCGTGTGTGTGTGCAGACAACCCGAGCACGCGCGCAGTTTCAACAGGCAGGCAGTCCGGGGAATAAGGTTCTCCCCGAAGTCTGACCCTGAAGTCGCCCTCTGGCGACTTGTGTGCCGTAGCGTTGGCACCCAGGGGAGGCAGGAGGAAGGTGGCTGGCTGGCCCCCCACCCTGACTTGTGGGAGCCGGATCGGCAGGGGGCGCCTCACCTCGTCGCACATGTCTGGTCTGGCACGTCCTTGGCAGTGGACAGACAGGAACGGACCCGAGCCGGGTGCCAGCAGTGACTTCGGGGCCTGGGGCTGCATCCTGCTCGTGTCTGTAAGTCCGCCCACCCACAGACAGTGGGGGCAGTCCGAGGGGAGCAAGAGAGTGCCCTGTGACAATGACAGGAGAGGGAGGTTTTTATTGCACATTATAACCATAATACGTGTGCTGACCCATTAGCAGCCTCCGTCTGCATTCAATAAAAACCGAGGTGAGTGGACCGTGCCTTCTGCCCGTTCCATCTTCGGTCGCCACGTCGAGTGGACACGTGACTGCTCAGGGCGGCCGTCTCTCAGGCCCCTGGGGGACTGCTCTGGGGCGGCAGGGAGGGGGAGAGGCAGGCAGCCTTTCCTCTTCCACCTGCTCCGCACGGCCTAGCTTTGGGGGTGCAGAGGGGAGGCCACAGTCCCCTGGGGACCCACCGGGAAGACCCCTTGCGTTTTCACTGCCAGGCGGCCCCAGGAGTGAGAGAAAGGAAGTGCTGTTCACGCCCGTTTGAGAAGATGTCTTATGAAACTCAGCTTCTCATTTAGAACACAGACCATGGAGCCTGGGCTCCTCTTGCCTAATTTCAAGGTTTCCATGGAGACTAGAACAGAGACAGATGCAGCTTCCCAGGCCTCCCTCCGATTCCGGGTGCAGGTGGAGGTGCGCTCGCCCCTGCCCGGAGGAGTGGGGGCGGGGGAGTGGCGGGGGGCACGTCCTTTCCAGTTCCGTGGTTGGGGATGTGACCTTGTTAGCTTGACATCAGCCGTGATGGGAGTATCTGTACTAGGAAAATCACCAAATGCTTCAGATCGGGTCTTTTCTCCGCCGAGAGCCGGTGGTGAACCGTCTGCCAGCGCCCCGCTGCCCAGGCCCGCCTGGGTGTGTTTCTGCAGCAAGGCCGTCTGAGTCAGAGCGCACGTGGCCACTCCAGTTTGAGTCACGGCGGACATTCATTTCTGTGGCGGTTTCCTGGGGACGAGCAGCTGTTCACTGACCGTTGTCTCGGCCCCAGAAGTCCCACCGAGGCCGAGAACAAGCACAGAACCGGGAACCGTGTCCGAGTGCTCTCAGACCTGGGCGCGAGGCAGGACGTGGCCCGGGGGACGGGGTCAGGAGACAGTCAAGTCCAAGCCGTGAAATGTGGTTCTGATCACAGTCAGATTGGACAGGTAGGTAACTGGGTCACCCACCCCCCACCCCCCTTCCCGCCGTCTCTGTGTACACAGCACGCGGCTCTGAAGCAACCACGCATCTGTACCTCTTCTGTAGCTTGAAAAGACACATTTCATGATTTCCACGAAACTGCTACACGCCCAATAAAACCAGCTGTGTTGGCATCCAGGGGACAAAACCCCAGCTAAGTCAGCCGATTGGGTGTTCTCGTCGTTACTTAGACAAAGGCCTCGAAGCCCAAGGGGGAGGGAGAAGCAGACCACAGGGTTGGCGACGATCGGCGCCCCCCCCCCCCAGCGAGAACTACCTTTGGGCGAAGGTTCATGTCCATCTCTACAGTGTACAAAGTTTGCCCCTGCACCCTCACTCCCAGGTGAGCTGTCTACCTCATCGGGTGATGCGACGTATCCACGTCACACGGTTTTCTCAGGTCAAGCACGTAGAACCGTCTGGATCGGCGTCTGTGCCACAGGGCCTGGGCGTACGTCAGTCCAGTGCGAGGCTCCAGGTGTAAGGCCCCCACGCTGGTGGACATCTGGATGCATGGAAACACTTAAGCAGCCGGAGCACAAAGTGTGGAACGGAGAGGCCGTAGACCCCTAGGCCCACGGGTGGGGCGCAGTTTCCCCGCCCTGCACGGTCAGGGTCTCTGGGTTCGACCCCAGCCTGCGATGCCTTTTCCAGTCACTCTGCAACTGAGCTAGCTTTTTCCCTCACGCTGCTTCTTGAAGGAGGAGACTTCAGAGCCCTCGACCCACCAAGGGACCTTCGGCTCAGAGGAGTGTCACGGCATTCGGGGTCTGTGTGTCTCGTGGTCCGCTGACCTCCCAAAGATGTTTCTTACCTAGACACCGGCTGCGGGGAGGGGACGTTGCTTCGAGTCACCTCCTACCGACTGTCCATTCCTTCCGGCCCTCAGCTCGTCCTCTGTCATCGCCGCGAGCAATTAACCTCTCCCCCCACGCCCGTGACGTCAGTCTTCTTTTCCGTGGTGCCTTCCTTTCTTCGTTGGGGAGAAGGAAGCACGACACTCGGGGGACCCCAGAGGGGTACTTGCTGGAGTCTTGGCTCAAACTCGGCCCTGGCAGCTCCATGAGGAGACAGCGTCCCCTCGGTCACCAACCAGACCCGTCCCACCCCCTTCCCACCAGCCTCCTGCACTGCAGGGTGGAGCCAGGTGCCGGCAGAGCCAGAGAGAGGCGGTGCCACGCCCGGGGGTGGGACTCCTGTGCTCCTGCCAGGTCCCTGGGAGGAGCTTGCAGTGACGACAACGTCCTGACAGCTGCTGAGTTCTGAGCAAATACTAGGCCCCAGGCACCATGCTGAGTGTTTGGGGCTGTGTTCCCACCCATCCGCATAAGAACCCTATGATGTAGGTACTGTTGTGACCTCTTTACTGGTCTGGAAAGATCTCGAGGTCCCAGGGCAGCAAGCAGAGAAATTTCAGGGGCACGCAAAACAAGGCGGGGTCTCCAGCAGGGCAGGTCCGAAGCAGCGGCAGAAGTCCCCAACTTCATTCAGCTCTTGGCAGTCCAGGGCGCAGGGGATGTCCTTCCATTGGCACCCAGGGTCACCCTTACCCCCACCCTGGGGGTCCTCTCACCACGTGGCCAGCACACACGGGGGGGGACCCCTCAGACTTCCCTTTCTATATGTTTCCAGGGGAATTCTGGGGGAGATGTTTAGCAGTGACCTCTGTACCCGGAATGTACCGTTCACACGCCCTTTCACCCACAGGGAATCTGATTAAATGTTTTCGGTGTCGAAGGCTCACGGCCGACCTGGATTTCCCTGCGACTCTGGGCCCGCAGCTTCCGTGAGCACCAGCCCAGGACAGCCCTGCCCTGGCACCCGCCGGAGTCAGCCTCTTCGCGCCCTGCAGACGGGAGGGTTGCCGTGCAGGACCCTGGTGACAACTGTCGGAGCCTGGGCTGAGCGGCATGGGGGGCCGGCCAGTGGGGAGCCTCCAGGGTTGGCACTTGGGCGGTCAGAGGTGAGAGCTGGCCGAGAGCGGTGTGGTTTCTGTGAGCTGCCACCTTCCAGCCGGGCCCCACGCTCTCTCCAGACCCAGCGGCCTGTGGGCCCCGAAGAGCCAGTCTGACCCTGGTGGGCTGCTTTCACTCTGGCCTGGTCCCTGGAGGAGGTTCGGGCACCTCATCCGTGCTCCTGCCTCCCCAGTTCAGACATAGCCACGAAGTCAAAGGCCCCTCATGCCTCCTCCTGCAAGTACGGGGTGAAGGAGCAGGGGCAGGGCATCTCTGGGGGTCGGCCGTCTCGGGGAGACGGATCCCCGGGGGTGGAACCGTCCATCTTCCCAAGGAGCCTGCATCGGGAAAGGGAGCGGCTGGGACACATGGCTTCGCTCAGCCAGACCCAGGTGTCACTGTGCAGAGAGTGGCAGGTGGCAGCCGCAGGCTCCGGCCCAGAGCTGTGACAACACTGACCTGCACCCCTGGGACGTTTGCTGAGCACAGCGTTGCGAGGTGTGCCGTGAGCTGGCCCTGCGCCGCGTCGGCCTCTGGTGCGGGGGCGGGGCCAGGACACCAGGGCAGGGTGCAGCCTGGGCTGCCCTGAGCTGCCGGCACGGTGCTGGGGCTGCAAAGGGGGCCCTGGGCTCCTGGGTGGTGGGGAAGGAAGGTTCTGGAAGGTTTCCTAGAGGCAGTGGCATCGGGCCAGAACCTCTAGTAGGGAAGCACATGTGGCGAGACTCAGGGGAGACGAGAGGTACCTGTGGGTGGCGGGCGTCGAGTTTAGTGTGTGTCCGGGAGTGGAGGAGAGGGACAGCGCCTCCTGAGATGGAGCAAACATGACCTGTGGCCGGCGGGAGGTGGCAGAGGTCTCAGCGGAGGGAGGACCGAGTTAGATCTCTTTTCGAAGGAGAAGACAGGGGGCCAGCCCACGTTCAGTTAGCTACCGAAACAGGGAAAAGGAGAGGAGGAGGGAAGGGAGGGAGTGGGGGCAGGAGGGAGGGAGGACCGGATTTTGAAGAGCATGTACATTATACAGGGAGTGGGGAGGAGGCATAATTCATTCCCTTTTTATCCTCACCTTAGGACATGGTTATCGGTTTTAGAGAGGGGGGCAGAGAGGGAGGAAGAGGGAGAGAAACATTGATGTGCAAAACATCGACTGGTTGCTTCTCACACACCCCCCAACCAGGGACTGAACCTACAACCCAGGCACGTGTCCTGACTGGGAATGGAACTCTTGACCTTTTGGTTTATAAGATGATGCTCCAACCCACTGAGCCTCATTAGCCAGGGCACATAATTCCTTCTTAAGAAACCAGGCACACGAGGCCAGGGTGCATCCCCTGACACTCTACCCGAGTGGGATCAAAGGCATGTCTCCGGTAGCGAGCGTCCACATTCAACGTCAATGCAGGGTCCTGACGGGCTGCCGCATACCCCCAGGGACAAAGGGAAGGATTCACGCAGCAGAAGCACCTGTGTCTGCCCAGGTCACCCTCCCACTCCGTCCCACACACACCCACCTCGGGGCCCTGCGCGGCGTGCTCACGCTGTGGGCTGTGAGATACGCACCCGGCATTTAAAGATCAAACATTATTCATCTAATCAGTCTTAGCAGCGTTCATGCTCATCCCAGATCCCCGTATTTAAGGACTTCACAAACGATTTAGATGGTTGACCTGAATGACTGTGCACCTGCACTTAGGGTGGCTGACCAGGGGCATCTCCCGTGTCCTTTGTCCCGCAAACCCCGTGACCCTGGGGTCAGTTTTATCCTTGCTCTCGGGCATGGAAGTTGCCCGTGTTTCACAGAACCTGAAGTTCACGATTCAGTGGTTTCAAGCAGCCTAAAATCTGCTTTTGGAGACAGGACGTTACTTTGAACTGTGGAAGTCCTGTTATCACCTCAGCAATACCCCAGACTGTCCACAGGGGTGTGTTTGGAGGCCATGACCTTGGCGCGGGATCGACTGGCTGACCCAAGCTGCTCAGTTTTGCAACGAGCAGGTCCAAGTGGCCGCTCATGTCTGATGAGACACCACACGCCCAGCCCCCACGTCCCAGCCCGCCACGGCCGGCCTTCGGGTCACTGCGTACCGAACCTTCACGGCAGTCATTACCGCTGACCGAACCTCATGCCCACAGACCTTCGAAGGCCAAGTTCCCTGGCAAGCTGAAATTATTCCAAACCTCCACAGTCCTGTCTTACAAGTGTGTAAACATCACCTCTTTCCAAACATGTACGGGACACTCAGGGGGCTATGGTGTCCGGCCAACCCCACTGGGATTTGCCCAGGGAAAATCCGGCGAGGGCCAGATTACAAACAGACTTGAAAGTCCACTGATAAACCAAAAAGGGTGCCTTGCCTGATGCCGATTACCACCTGGGGCGTTTTCTCAACCTTGGATGGGGTGGGGCCTTATTTACTTGGGCCCATTTGCTGAAGGAGTTCAACCCCTGCCGGCAGACCAGTCCGGCCGTCTGTCCACCCTCGAGAGTGGGGCACGCCC